ACCAAATCCGCAACTGTCTGCGGTTTCGGTTTGTGCTTGCCGCTGGAGGACCCCGATTTATCTGATTTGCGGCTGAAGCAACCCCATTGAGGTGGCGGAGAAAGGGGAGAATGTCAGCTGAGTTGAGGGGAGCCACATCCCCCCTCCTTGGTGAGGAATAAAAATCCTCTCCGAAGGCGGATGCAGCGATGGCCAAAATGACCATCACAAAGAAGAAGATCTCACCGGACACGATTGCTCAGGAGTGGAGAGAACAAAGGGGACAGTTTGGATGACCGGGGTAACAGGATTAACATCTGAATACAAGGTACCCTGGAGCTAAAATACTTAAGAACTCTTAGGAAAATATTTTTAGATCTGCGGCACAGAAGAGGGGGAAAAAAAAGTTCTGAAAAAAGGAATGGAACCTGGATATACTGAGAGTGCCACCGGATGCTGAAAGAAATTAATGTGAACTTTTAAAAGATTTTTAAAGAATAACAAAGTAAACAAAACATTGCTACAATTATAGAGCCCCTGGAAAGTGAAAGTGGAGTTTGGAACTTTTCAACAAAGAAAGAAGTGAGAAGAAACTGTTCTGGAATTTTTTGAGGATCTTGGAAACTCTGGACATTGGATTACTAGTAGATATAATTGAAATTAACTTTGGGAAGCAATCCTATAGAATTTGGTTGTCTAAAAGTACTGGGAAGTGTTGAAAGGTGGCAGAACTTTATTTGGAATTGAAAATGGTTCTAAAAATATGAAGGAACAATTGCAAGTGAAAAGAGAATCATTTGGCTTTGTTCTGCAATCTCTGGAAATGGCTGTTTTGGACTATGAGGATCAGCAAAAAGCTTTAGTTCCTGAAGAAGACTTGAATAAAGGAGAGGCCATCTTTAATTTAAAAAATCAGGAAAATGAGGTTTGAAACTCAAAAAGGGGAAAAGGGGACTTAAAAATTGGAAATTGGAGGAGGTAATCAGAAAAAGGAACAGTGTGAGAAATAAACAAAATATAAGGAAGGAGCAGAAGGGAGGATTACAAGGAAGCATTAAAGAAGGAGGGGGTCAAAAATTGGAGTGAGAAAAAGAGGGGGGAAATAAAGGGGAAAAGAAGTTATACAAAACAGAATCAGGAAATAAAGAAATGTGGGGAACGAACAAGAATTTAAGGGCATAATTTGACAGACACAGAGATAATGGTTGAAATTACAATTAAAAGAGAGGATTCTGCATGGTGATAAGGGATTGTATAAATATTTTAGAAACAAGAAATTATGTAGAAAACAGGAAAATATATGTAATTAAAATGGAAGATGAAATGGGGATTATTACTTAATGGAATGTACAATAACTAGCTTAAATAAAAGATGAAAATATGCAAACTACAACTGAATTATATTAATGTATATCAAGGATTTATAAATTGTGATTGAAATTAAGTATGAGAAGGACTGTAAGGAAATTAATACTAGTCTTTTTTTAGGATAAATTTGAACTGATTATTTTCTTCCATTTTATTCTTTTTTTCTTTTATTTTCTTTCTTCTAAACTTAAAGTTGTTTTAATTTAAAGGGGAAGTACCATGTGGAATCTGACTAAAAAGGGATTTATGCTATAATATAACTATTAGGTGATGGAGATTATAATTGTTTAATGGGATAATTTAGAAATAGAATATTTCATGGGATGTGAAAGAGAATTAATTATATGAAGGTGACACACTTTAATTGGCAATTATAGGGGAACCCTTGTTTTGTATGTTTGAAATATGGATATGGATTGAAATTGTACACAGGACAGATAAAAGTACAAGTATAATTATTTTGAAAATATGAAAACCTTGAAAAGGATATGTAATAGATTTAGAAATGAATGAGAGAGTTATAAAAAGCCTGAGGGAAGTATCTGAGGGAAAAAAACTAATAAAGAATAATTAAAGTAGTGATATGAAATTGAATATGAAAGATGAAAGATGAATATGTAACTGAGATTGTATCTGTATGGAGATTTGAAAACCTGGAACCAAGCTGTTCACCAAAAAAAGATGTTTTATATTTGTGTGTGTGTGTTTTGTGAAAACTGAAATAAAATTGTTTTTTTTTTTTTTAAAAAAACAACCTTGTTACTAACTGAACAAGCGCAATGACACTTAAGAGTTATGGCAAGAAGTTGTAAAATGAGGCAAAAGTCACTGAATAAATGTCTCACTTAGCAACAGAAATTTTCGGCTCAAATGTGGTCATAAGTCGAGGACTTCCTGTATATAAAATCTACTTGTTCCATTGGCCTTTGTTGGCAAATGATGTTATAGTTGAAGGGAGACACAGAGGCCTTAATCATGGTATCAGTTTATTCATATAACATACTAAATCTGATCTCAGTTTGACCTAATGTGACATGTGAAGGAATCTACTTTCTCCTCTAAGACTGCCGGTTACTATATAAAGATGGGTTTTCTTTGCTGAGTAGAAGTATTATTTCCTCTTCTTGCTTGGCACAAGAACATCAGAAACAACTGCTAAGCATGTGAGATTTTTAACAACATCCCTTTAAGTAGATGAGTAAGTCACAATTGTCAATATTATCAGCTACAATAATGGAACAAGAAATTAACCGAAGCTAACTCTTGTTTTCCTTTAGTTATTTTTATTACTCAAATCGAAACTTTCACATCATGCTATCGAAATGGGAAAACGCCTCAATTGGGCATATCATTTATATTTTACCTTACTGCTGTTTCTTTCATGATCAGTTTGCTGGTTATACCAAGGTTCATTCCACTTCTCTTCAGACTGCCAGGTATACTTCAATATTGTACTTAAGACAGCTTCACCAAGGAGGATTATTAGATAGATAATCAAAAAAGAATTCATAGATCTGAAAGGCAAAAGTGAGAGACAATTTAATACCCAACTTAATTTAATCAGCCAACTTGAACTTTGCATTTGGGGGAGGGTGGATATCCCAAAAAGGAAATGCTTTGTAGAATCACAAGGTTGGAGATGACATTAGAGGTCTTCTAGTTCAAACTCCTACCCGGTGTAGGCTGGACTGATGGTTGTCCAGTCTTTTCTTGAAAACCACGAGCTCTGGGTTTTTTTTTTGTCTTTGGTTGCAAAAAGAAAAAAATGTTCTTCTCTATTAAAGGCAGAAGATGGAAAATCACGAGAAGTTTCTTGCTTCAAGGCATGGTAGGACAAGATTTGAGGAAAAAATACAGGCTGGTTCATTAGACGTGAAGCAAAGTAAAACACTCAAGAGCAAACCGCTATGCAGAGTGGATTCAGTATTTTCAGGGCTGTGTTTTGTCACACGCTGATGACCCATCAGATTATTTCTCAAGAAACTATCAGAAGGGGGTTTAGTTTACCTACATCCCATTTCACATGGTGATATATTTCTAAGTTCTCTTGAAGAACAAAATCCACATTCAATACATTTGAATATTCTGAAAGCAAATATTAATTTCACTAAAGAACATGTGAACATTTACTAGCCTGATAAGAAATATTATCAAATGGTTCAAGCAACAGAGATGTTCAAAAAATGTTTTTAAAACATGTTCCTTTGTTTTTTAACATGTTTCTTTGTTCTTTTTTTTTAACTTAGTGTATTTTATTTTGTATTTTTTAACTTTTAAAATTATTGTTGGTATTCTATCATGCTAGTCTATGACCATAATAAATATTTGAACTGTTCCCTTGCATGCTACCCCTTACTCCAAATTCCCCATTTTACAGTTTAAATTAATACATTAATCTTTAATGGAGTAAAATACTGCCAACCACATACTTCTCTACTGCTGATCGTTTCTGTGATTTGCTCTTATAATTCAATGCCATCTTTGTCTCCATTCCTGTATATACAGCAACACCTATAAAAAAGTAAAAGAACGTTCAGCATGGCAGCAAAGTTGTGTAATACTTGAGGCTCGTTCTCTTCCCTTCCTTTTGAGAAGACAGACACAGATGGCTTCTTTCAATTTCTGGCTGGTCACTCGGTTGGGTTTCCAAACCCACTCTATGATTATAGTGATAGGTTTTTTAAAATTCACGCCGTGATTTTTTAAAAAAGTGATTAGTTTTTTTCAGATTTTTAACTTAGAAATATATTCCAACCAAATCAAGCGGACCAGGAGTTAACAGATAAAAACTTTTACAGCAGAAAGCTTAAGTGGTCCAGGTTCCTGGAATAGAGGGATTGAAAGCACCAATAGGACTTACAAAGGTGAAAGAAAGACACATAGAATTCAGATTTTTCTGGTTGCACCAGAATCAATTACAGTTAGTCCTCCACTCACAACCACAATTGAGCCGAAATTTTATATTGCTAAGTGAAACATTTGTTAAGTGAGTTTTACCCCGTTTTGTAACTTTTCTTACCACGTTTGTTAAGCAAATCATTGCAGTTGTTAAGTTAGTATCACGGTTGTTAATGAGTCTGGCATCCCCATTGATTTTTGTCAAGAGGTTGCAACAGAGGATCATGTGACCCCAGGCACTGCACAAGTCATAAATATCAATTGCCAAGTTTAAATTTTGATCATATGACATGGGAATGCTTCAATGGTTGTAAGTGTTAAAAATGGTCATGTCACTTTTTTCAATGCTGTTGTAACTTTAGTCACTAAATGAATTGTTGCAGGTGTAGGATTACTTGGTACAAGTTATTACAATCTACATGACACTCTTCCTCTTAATCAGGAAAAGTGTCCTAACCTGGATGATATGCCAGCAATAGCTACTGTGCAATTTCATCCTTTCAAGAAATATTAACCAAGTTAGTGAAACTTTTATGTTACACACCAAAAATTTCTTTAGTGTTTTTCAACCTTGCTCCACGAAGTAGAAGACTTTTGGGTTCCAGTGGTCTGCAAAAGAAAAATCATTGTTTGTTCACATTGTTGGTTAAAATGAGACAGTCCCTCTTTCTCAGGGAAGAAGGCAATGGCAAACCACTTCTGAAAATCTGGCCAAGAAAACTCCAGGCAAATCATCAGGCACACACACACTGACTTGTGCGCATGCACACACACACACACAGAGCAGGGCAGATAAAGAGTGAATAATTTTGTATTTGGGAATCAAAATAATTTTGACCTAACTATCCCCTCAATTCCCTAGAATGTAGCAATTTTATTGGGCCTATCAGTAGGCAACTGCCTAAAAAGGAAGAGATAAATTCATAGAACGGTATCACTGACACCTAATACATATAGTCCGGAGACAGCGTGAACAGCATATCACGTAATGACCATCTCATTCTATTTGTGAACTTCATTGGGGCATCACCTGGTATTAAGATAAACAGATGTTATACTAGTCCTTTCTTTCAGTCCAGTAGGGCTCTCAAGGTTTTTTTTTTTTTTTAATTTTGTTGTGCTATCTAAGAAATATACATTGAACCATAACCAACCACAACCAAAGTTAAACATTTTACACATAATTAAAAAAATCCTTTAGTATTTCAGCATATTTGATATTGTTTGTTATTCATGCTGCTCAGCTACTGTGCGCTTGGCTGCTTTTCACAACTCCTTCTCCAAGGAGTCCTAGATTCATCTGAATGTGCCACTTAAGAATAACTCCTTCATCCTACAAGCAAACAACACTTGAATTCCCCCTTACAGAGAATATACTTGATTTATGAAATGCTTTCTTGTTCTCAGTGATTAATTTCAACTCCACCAGCAATAATTCTTACAATATTTATACAGATGTTTACAAAGGGTCATGAGGATCAGTGAGAAAAGACCCTGAATAAAATTGTCTGCCATGCTGACCCAATATTCAATTTTAAGACAAACCTGTTGCGCACTATTTATCTATTGTGGCTTGAAATGTCTATGTAATTATTAGAAGAATAGCAAGTTTAACAGGTACATAGGACCTGACCTGGTCTATACCAATCCACAATGTACTGTTAGAAAGAAAACTAGTTTTTACTGTTATTTTAATATAACAAAACAATAACAACTAGCTGTATTTATTAGTACAAACTGGTCAAACAAGTAAGTGGCAGTTCACAGCATCACTCAAACCAGAAAGGAATAATAGCTTGTAACCATAAATTACAACAGCTTGCAATAGCTTGTATTCCTCCCAGTCTAATAAGTTGCCACTACAACTTATTATTTATGCAGAAGTAGTTCTTTAAAAGCATTCTAGCAAAAAACAACAACACACAACCTAGAACAGGGCAACAAAAAACAAGGAAGCAGAAAGATCACAAAAGTAGTGTAGGAACATCTGGTCGGTGTGCTTAATCTTCCCTGTACTGTATGCATACAAATGCATTTTATTTCATTTTATTTATTGAATTGGTCTCAAATCACATTCACCGAGAGTGAAGGCATTTGGCTTACCGCACTATTTCCTCAATTTGATGACTTATGGTTATACGCCCAACAAATCTGCAAAACAATATGTGTTATGATTAAAAAATAAATAAAAGGAAACGTTAATTTTTCAATACGCCATTAAACCCTGACCATAGCAGTGTAGGAAGAGTTAAAGAAACTGACCTGGTTTGCATGTAATGGTAAGCCCAATTCCTGGCATGCCATGATCAACAAAGCCAGGAATCTGAAGCCAAGAACAAACCAGGAAGCAACAATCAGAAATCCTAGTTCAGACATTGTGCTAAACAAACCACAGGTGGTAGCTTCCATGTTAGCTTAATTCAAAGCCACATTCTTTAACTTTCTTCCATTTCAATGCAACAGTTTAACATAGAACCTTTCCTTATGTTTAGCTATAAAATAATACAGGTAGTCTCTCAATTGTGTTCTGTTGCTAAGCAAGACAGTTGTTAAGTGAGCTTTGCCTCATTTTATGGCCTTTCTTATCACAGTTGTTAAGTGAATCACTGCAGTTGTTAAATTAGTAACAGAGTTGTTAAGTGAATCCGGCTTCCCCATTGATTTTGCTTGTCAGATGATCGCAAGGGACACTGCAACTGTCATAAATCTGAGCATCCAAATTTTGATCACGTGATCATGGGGATGCTGCAGGGGTTGTAAATTTGAAAAATGGGCCTAAGCAGTGGCGGTATTCTACCAGTTTGGCCTGGTTCTACCAAGCCGGTAGTGGTGATGAGCAGCAGAGACCAAACCGGTTCTCTCCGCTGCTCTGCTGTTGGGCCCACCCACCTGCCTGGGCTCTCATACTCACCTTTATCTTCTGCTTTTGAAGTGCAGCTGCTTTGCGCAGCACAGAAGAGTGCCGCGCGACACCTGCTGAAGCAACTAGAAGAGTGCAGACTTGCAGGTGGTGAATTGGAATGCCTCTGCGCCTGCGCAAATGTCTCGCTCCTGCGCAAAGTGCGTGTTTGGCACACGTGTGCACACAAAGTGTGTGCACGCATGCAAAGCGCGCCCACCAAGCCACACCCACTGAACCGGTGGTAAAAGTTTTTGAATCCCACCACTGGTCCTGAACGGTCGGTCGAACTAAGTGAAAGGGTTTTAAGTCAAGAACTTCCTGTAACAATTTTTCTATAGCAAATCTGCATTGTCTTGGAGACCTGTTGGCAGAACTCTCAGTGTCAGGATGACAGAGAATCAAATGCTTCATCCTGTTTTTTTTTTTTTAACTAAGAAATGGGGAGTGAATGCTTGAACATTGGGGGAATTTTCCAAACTCAGGAAGCTCCCAAATGAAATTAACAGAGCATTCCCAGTAAGTCATGGCCTTGTTTTTTCTACGCTACATAGGCATTTATATTCATGACTCCATCACAAGAATTTCCAGAGAAGTTTTGGCCTAATTTTTAATAGCCATAACTTCCTTTTCCAAATTCTTAAAAAAAAGAGAGATAGGCAGTAATAAAAAACAGAAACCTGTAAAGATCTGCTTCTGGTTGCTGGCATTCAATAACAGCTACAAGTTTGTCCAGATTGGCAACTGACTGCAACACAGCAGTTTCTGGGACTGCAGTGTGTTTCTGAAAGAAAAAAGAGAAAAGCAAATGATTTGACAAGTCTTGGTTAATGTATTCCACAGATCTCCAAAGACCCAAAATCCAGTTAAAAAAAAATCCCCTACGAGCTCTTAAAACTGTATTCCTAATTTGCCAGTAAGTTGTCAGTGTTATACAAAATGCTGAGAAAAACAAGCCACAATTTGGTAAATTGGTCATCTGTCAATAGGAAAATGATACATTTCTTCCATCTGGTGGTGTGTTCATAAATTTCAGTCCTGACAAAATGATGTGTGAGGGTTCTTTGTTCATCCTAACGAGGGCAAGACTCCCTCACGTGAGGATCATCACTTGAAAAATAGTAGGAAAAAAAAACAGATCATAAATTGGATGGAGCTCTGTATTCTTGTAGAATGTTTACTATCAAGGGGGAAATAGTTTGAAAAATATTAAGATATACAAATGCCTGTAAAAAAAGATTGTGGATAGTATGTAGTTTGTCACAAGAAATAAATAGTTGAAATAAATAACCAAGGAGAAAGAAATACATTGAGGTGGGGATTGGTCACCTGGAAAGAATTAATGAGCATTAAATGCCAAGACAAATAAAGAAAGGAAGCATGAATGTCTTTAACAGGAAAGGAAAAAAGAAAGCTCCTACTGCTGGCTATTTTGGACTGGTATATAAATCTTTCAGATTCAAAATATCTTAAACTATAATGTCCCATTTTGAATTCAACATGTGTTTACTTAAATAGAAACAAGTATTTCAAGCTCAAATATTTTAAATTTGAAACATTTTATGTACCTTACTGTCTTATTATACCAGTTGACAAAATAAGACAAAAATTGGGCAAACTAGAGGAAAATAACATAGAAAACAGAAAGTATTTGTCCTTAAAGAACTTTCTAAGCATATCCATATCCTTTTTGTTTACATTTGCTAGTCACTTTCTGATAATCAGAAGTAACTACATTACATTCCAATTAATCATATTAACTGTGCCTAAGGAATTTGTTCTTATATTTTTCCTTAAATTCATAACAATGAACACAGCCATAACAACGCGGCCTTTGGCTATACAAAAAACCCTGAAGCTTTAATATGAATCCAACAAAATTCAAAAGAAACTTAACACTCTTTTCTATATCAACATAATACCCTAGCCACAATTTCAAAAAACAAAAAAATTATCCATTTTAACAGTATGAACGCAGACCTTAAGATTAGTTTCTCCATCCAAACTTGCAGTCGTAACATAGCAACAGCCATGTTCTCTATCAGAGGACAGAAGTACAAGATCAGCAGGGAAAGTTTCATCTTTGGCTACTCTCACAATGTCTCCTACCTGAGGAGACAGAAGAAGGCATGGAAAAACTGATTTGCAAAATTACTGGATTAAAACAGTCCAACGATTATCCGGTCTAATTAAATTCTTTGTAAAACTGAACAACAGCCATGACTGTTTATTTCAACCCCGCAATTACAGAAGACAGACCCTCATTTTACGTGAGTAAGACACATACCCGAATGTTCTTTGATCTTGTTTTTACAAGGCCACCACTACGAACAACATACACTGGAGCTCCATTTACTTCATTGTCTGCTTTGTGCCGTAGCCAATCTTCATAACCCTGAAAAGATCAAAGGAAGTCACTAATATATCTTGCCTGCCATCTCAAATTTTATCAGAGGATCAATCTGGGGCCTAAAAAAAAGGAATCCATACGGCTTATTTTCCCCAACCGTTTGCCTTTGAAAAACTTTGGACTACAGTCTCAATATTCCTTAATGGGTCATACTGATTGAAACTACAACTCTTATCAGCTCCAAAAACTTGGAAGGGATCAGGGTGGGGGAGATAGAGCCAAGGCAAAGTAGATAATTGGCTTATGATATTCGTGCCACTTTAAATGAGGGAGATAACAACCTATGTCTATTTTGAAAACATATATAGTAGGAATGATAAATTCAAGCAAGCATGCTAAAGGCAATTGTGCTGTGTGATCAGGGTTATGTTAAAGAAAGATTTCCAAAATAGATAAAGGTTGCTGATAAGTCTTGCACGCATACCTCAAGAAAAGTTATGAGGAAAAAAATGAAATTGCATGGTCGTTCCTACTCAGATGGGAGTTGGGAGGCATATTCATTTAATAAAGTAGGGTTGGTTGTATAGTCAGCCAGATGTTTAGACTGGATTTTTGTTAACCTATTAAGTCTTTCCTAATGACCTGAGACAGGTAGATGTTGTTTGATGATATTAAAGGTAGTGTTATATGATATAATCTGTTGCAAGTAAAACTGCCTTTTGTAATTGACTGATAGTCATTTTTGTCAATAGTGATGGTGTTCAAGCGATGCTCCAGATATTTTGTAATTGTACCCAGGACGCACATTACCATTGGTATTACCTTTGCTTTTTTTTGCCACAGTTTCTATCTACAGATCTTTATATTTTATGATTTTTCTCTCGTTCTTTCTCTTCTCTTCTGCTGCCTTCAGGTCTTATAATGTTCACTCGCTAACATTTTTGTCTTTCTCATCAACAATTGTTAATTCTGGGGCATTGTGTGGCAGATGCTTGAATTCTTAAGTCCCAGAGCACTTTAGCTTCTTTATTTTTCTCTTACTTTGTTATTTTGTGGTACCACCCGTTCTTGCTGGTGGGCTAAGTGCTCTGAGCCTTTAGAATTCAAACAGATAAATGCTGGTCACTCAACATATAAATTATGGTTGGTCAGACAGTCAGCCAGATGTTTAGACTGGATTTAGCATTTTGTCTACTTATTGGTCCTTCCCAAAGTCATGTTTGTAGAATATTATGTTTTTATAAGACACAGTCTTGACAAAAGTAACAAAACAGAATTTTAACAGCTATAAAGAATGATAGGTAAAACTGAATGCTGGATGAAGGTAATTTCATTTAAAGCAGACAGTGGAGGTTATATAGTATATAAGAGCATCCTGTGCTGCTTCAATGTATTATGCAGACTAGTTTTGAATTTTGAAATATTCTTTAAATAAATAAGTGAATAAATCTATTCTATCCATAGGTATAAAAGAAGCACTGGCGGAAAATCAGGTCCCATCAACTTCAGGGAGCCAGAATACTGTGAGGAATCTCTAGAAACAATTGAATAATGCAACATCTCTCATTATGTAAATCAAGTTTTACAAGACTCCTTCACAAAACCTCATTCCTTTTAAGACAGCAGGAAAAAATGGTATTCATAATACAAACTGAGATACCAACCTCCACAACTATTATGTGTCATTACCACCCACTGAAGGCTTTTACTGTGGATCATGAAAACATATAAAAGCAATCCCAGGCAAAAACATGTTTTGTGTTTTGACTCCTAATACCAAAATGTATTTTCTAATTTCAATTGAGGCTCAAATCCTTACAGAATACTGTTATATTTCAATGCAAGGAAAATGGAATAGCAATCATTTAAGGTATCTTTAGGGACAAAATAATTTAAGTTACCTCCTTCATTATCAAAGTTGGACCAAAAAGATGAAAGGCTCCACCCAATATCCATATCATTCTTAAATCATTAATATATAAATATTCATATTTAAAATGCAAAACAGTAGCATCAGACATTGTTCTGTACAAAAATATCCCACTAAAAACACATTCTCACATCAAGATCCCTTTTTCTGTATAATATTTCAGACTGCATATTTAGTATTTTGGATCCATGCCTTTGCTGGCTTGGCTTCTGAAGAAATACACCATGTGCTGATACTGCTAAACACATTAGCACATTGTGAGCTAACACTGATGGCCCACTTTTAATTGCAGTTCTGTATTGAACATAATGTGTATGTCTGTGCTAAGCAACACCCCACCTCCAAAAAAAGGCACATTTTCTTACCTGCTTTATGGCTGTCACAGTTATAACAAAAAACAATGGCAATCCACTAGTAATTGGACTAGTAGGAGTATCTATCATAAGCTAGAAGAGAAACAGAAAGAATATGCGTATGAGTCAAATTGTGGAAAGTCTATGTTTACATTTGTATGTTATATTCAAAAAACTATAAATAGTGCTTTTGTGGTTGCTACTGTAACACGGCACACTGTATATACTACAATATTTTATTACTGTCGCTTACGACCATACCTGAGCCCGGAATTATGGCTGTAAGTCATGCTGTTCATTAAGTCGGTCATCACCACATGACTGTGCCCCATTTTATCATTTTTAACAGTTGTTAGGTGAACCCATTTTAGCTGGAAATGGGATTATCTGGCAATAAATATAAATCACAATTTATATTTTTATTTATATATCACTGCAAAGCAACCTAATTGGGGGCTGGTTGCTAAGTACCCAAAATGCAAACACATGACTTCAGGGTGTGTGTGTGTGTGTGTATGTGTGTGTGTGTGTGTGCAGCCAGTAAAACTTTGATACTGGTTATAAGTACCTTTTTGGAAGGTCTGTTATAACTTCAACGGTTGCTAAGAAACCAGTCATAAGTCAAGGACTACTTATAAAGGACTTCAATGGCATTTGGAAAACAGCCAGATTCTCACAGATTTTAAAATGACCCAAAACTGAAAATGAACTTGGCAAAAATTTCCCTTCTATATTTGCCAGATTACAAGATGCTTGTGGGCAATCACACCAATGTGTTGTCAATAATGAAAAATACAGACTGCACTGTTGCAGGATAGTATGTGGTGGAAGTTCAGCTGCAAGACCTTGGTTAAACACTCAGTGTGAACACTGCATTCAAAGTAGAAATGGAAGACAACTGCGGGCTCTGTGACAAAACACAGACCTCTTGCATATGGACCAATCCTAAGGGGAGGAGGGGAACGTATTTTATTAGGCAGCAGCTCTAAAGCCCAGTCTCACCAATCAATCAGTCAATCAATCAATCAAATTTATATGGCAGTCTATCTTATAGAAAATGATTTTGGGTGATATACAACAGCTCAATAAAAGGTGTAGATATATAAAACAATTATTACCTCAAATAATTAAAATAATTTTTAAAATGTATAAAAAACCATAAAGAGAAAACTAAAACAGAACAAAGAAAATAACAGAGGGATGTCAATAACAACAGTGCCACCTCATGAGTTCACCCGTTCCTTGGGATCCTGAGGGCTGCTGACATAATCAGGTCTTGAGGGACATGTGAATGCTCAGAAGTGATGAGGTTTTCCCCCTCAGCACAAACAGAATAGGGATTTTGAAGGGGGTGCATGTATTTCAAGCATGAGCAATAGATTCAAGTTCCACAGGACTTAACTCGAAACATGCTTATTGTGATCATACTGCAAAAACAGACATCACAGTACGTTTTACTCTTGGGCTGTGTTAGCTGAGGCAAAAGAAAGAGGAAACACCCCCCCCCCCCCAATGTCACTCTGTTTCTATTATTTGCCTGCTGTAAAATGTAAAGCTCCTTCCTGTGAGGAACAAAGCATGAATCCAAGAAAAAATTAATATAATTGCAGAGAATTAAGCTAATATCAGTCTAAGAGATTTACTTCCTATGAGGGTAATTGACCATGCATGCTATAAAGCCAAAAGCGTAATATTTTTTGCAAAAAATTAAGATGTTTTCGTAAACCAAAGAAATGCAAGAGTAAATAAAGTTACGTAATTAAAAAAAATTAGGAATGTATCCATTTTAAGAGAAGGTAGATATGCAAAATAGGAATTGAGTGGCTTTGTCCTTTTTAATTTAATTTAATATCATCTGGTTGTTTCACTGCTTTTTCTTTTTCATCTGAAAGAGGTCTTGTTGCTTTTACCATGTTTTGTCAACTTCAGTTCCTTGTGACTTTACTTTTTCTGAAATCAACTCTACCATTTCCAGATATTACTTCTCTTATGGCCCGATCCCCTTCCCGGCTCCTATGCGTTCACTATTTGTTTTCAGGTAGTCATTTACCTTTATGTGTAGCTATACTGACATTTTCTAATTTCCATTTGTATTTCCTCAATGGTTCACAATTGTGCTTTTACCATTTCCCTTTGTATGAGCTTCCCTCTATCATAAGTGTCTTTTCCCACCAGCATCTCCTGCCATGAAATCCTACCTATCAGATAGGAAGCCATCTTTTCAAGCTCCCAACACATGCATACAGTTTTAGCTTTCTTTGAAGTCAAGAATTTGAGCCTACTAATCAATTTTTCTCAAAGTTCCTGATATTTCTACTTTTTAAACAAAATTTTCTCTATTGGAGATTATCAAGAATAATCGATTCTATTTCTATCCTCATTATACACTTCAGGAAGACTCTGGAACGACATACTAAGTAGAATTATCTCTCTATAGAGAGATAATGGTGGCAATTCATCCTAGTAACAGTTGCATTTTACACATGAAATATGCTTATGCATAAGCACAGTACAAGCAAAGCAATAAATATCACAGATATGTGTCACCAAAGTCCCTCTCCACTAGTACTTCATTCCTCTCTAACTTGAACTTGGCAAGTTTAAGACTTGTGGACTTCAACTCCCAGAATTCCTGAGCTAACATGACTGGAGGAGGAATTCTAGGAGTTGAAGTCCATAAGTCTTAAAGCTGTCAAGTTTGAAGACCCCTGCTCTTGAATAATCTTCAATTTGCTTTTTGGATATAATGATCCACAGCTGCCCCATGGATGGCTACTTGCCGATATAAAGAATGGTATAGTATGGTTCATTCACTTATTTAAACCAGGAGGCTTTCTATGATAGGAAGACTAGCACTCAGTAGAACAGCCATGAAAGTCTTGGAAAAGGCATTCAGATGCTGAGATGTAGCAGAATCATGATGGGAAAAAATCAGAATTGTGTAGGCAATGGCATTTCTTGTGACATTCTATGGAAGCAAAAGTTTGAACACCGATGCTGGAAAAAAAGCTTTTGAGTGTACCACGTAGAACCAAGGAAACAAACAGATCATCAAATAAATCAATCCAGAGTTCTCACTCAAGACACAACCAATCAGGCTCAAATGATCACACTCTGAACACGTTTTGTGAAAGACCTAGTTCAGTGAAGAAGACTATAATGCTGGAAAAAGTAGAAGGAAAGAGAGGAAGAGGAATACCGACTCAGTTACAGTGGCAACGGGCGCTAAATTGGAAGACCTAAACGACCAGGTTAGGGATAGTTTGTCATGGAGAACATTTATCCATGTGGTTGCTAAGAAATGACATTGACCTAATGACATAATCAATCAATGCTGTGAACTTTATGAGCTAAACCACAGGATATGTATACTGGTGACATAGTAAAGAAACACTATTTGTCAACAGAAAGAAGAATTATTACAAAAAGCATAGCAAATTGTGTTGGAAGCAACGAGGAATACTTTAAAGTGTTAAAGGGCAACAAATCTTCATGTTTGATTGAGGTAATCTATCTATTGAAAGTTCTGTTATTTATGAAATATTGACTATGAAGGCTGCACAGCTATTAATAGGTTGTTCTTTATTTCTTAAATATTTGCGAACTGCTTCTCTTCTAAAAACAATACAAATAATTCCACTCTGATTGCATTGAAGAAAAAGTGAGGTATAGTGAAATATAGAAATTCTAAACCATTTCATGACTAAATGTCTCGTATGACAAGTCTATCATTATTGATGGTTCTCTTATTCACAAAGCAAATGTTGCAAATTAAACTGCTTTTCTGAATTTATTTCATAGCAGAAATGTAAAGAGTTCAAAGATAGGTCAGCCAAAATAGTGATGAAGCTGGATGGAAAGAAAAAAAAAACAAGCTAAAACACATACAAACAAGCCTTACTGATAGAGCTTGGTACCTAACAATTAACATTTAAACACTGCTTAACCCATAGAACCTTTTTCTGCTAAATTTAGAATCCTTTCCATTGAAGCTTTTAGATAAAAGAAGATTTAGCACAACTTGCGAAATACGTAAGTGAAAATAGAGAAGAAAAACTAAGCAAAAATAAGTAACAACTATTTTCTGATTACATCATTGTATGTATGGGAACCCTGAATAATGAAAGGGAAAAAAAGCATTAGATGCAATAGTCAGATGATTTTTAAGAGTTTTATTGCAATAGCCACAACATGGATTTCATTGCAACTTAGGCCTGAGGCAGCATTTGCAAAAGATATAAAATGTAATACATATATGGAATCAAATACTATAGTGGCTTGTGTAATACTGTACAATACACAGTATTTACAGGACACACAAAACACATCTGATGAATATTGTTCAGTCCATTCCTCAGAAGGAGGTTTTGTTATCACATTTAGAAGGAGATGAGAACGGCAATCTTGTCACATGCAGAGAGAAGTAAGACAGATTTCCCCATGAATATCATAATTTCATATTTCTAGGGGGAATTTTTTGAGAGCCTGTTCTTTTGACGGTATGAATAAATCTCTCTTCCATCCTGTTAGCCTTGGACAACAATCAAGTCCATGGGTCAATCCTATGTGTCCCACCTGTTGTTACAGTGCTATTGATTGATTATGTGCCATTAAGGCATTGTGGACTCTTAGAAGTCTCTTTTTTTTTACGATGCTATTACAATATTTTAAATATCTGCTACCATCTTGGAATGGACTTGAGAGCAAAAATCAATATGACCCCAATAGCACAAGTCCCAAATGATAGCTAAATTTCTGATTATAGTACTGACCAGGTCCCAGGCAGGATGTAGGAGGCAAATGACCACCCAACTGTCTGGTTAATAAATAGAAATATAGCTTTGATGCTTAAATTCCTTCAGGAATTCACTTTCAGAGATTAAATACCAAATTAAGAAAGGTCTTTACTGGTGACTTTAGCTCATGATTTTGATAATATTGCTAATTCATATAACTATGCATTTGTTTTGCCAAACTAAAGCCAACTAATATTTTATCCCTATCTGTATTTAATTTGTAATTGTACGTGGGAAGGATTAAGAGAGGCTACTCAATCAGATGAAATGCCAATTTACGGGAAATCCGTTTTCAAAATATATTATGTATAATACCTAAACTGCATCAACATTTTTAACATCCCTCTTTTAGAGTGAAGAAAACATGTTAGTCACTAGGAATAAATCTTATGAAGAGATCAGCTAATGTCTTATGAAACCACAGAAAAACATAGATGAACTTGTCCTGATAACGGTAGTGGGCATGTCACCATATACAAATGAATTCTAACTCTCAGAGTAACCCACTATTTGTTTCAAAACCAAGCTTTATGCTTGATTATATTCAACATGTTTTTTTTTTCAAATCCCTCATGTCAATTGCACATGCTTAAGTAGTGTTAAATTATCCAACTTACCTGAACCAAAAATATTATAAGAAAATAAAAATTGGCTATTCTTCTGAACTGTTCAAATAAATTTTTGGGCACAAAATTCCATACAGTATACTGCAAGAAAAAAAAAAGTTACATTTAAAAACTGCCAAAGTAATTCATTTCAACTTCAATCATTTTTTTTAGAACTGTATATTCTGCATTCAAAATTCTACAAATGTTAACAAACCCTCTCTTAGAACATTCATATCAGCCAATTAAGTTCCATGTTTACCTTTATGCGTTAAATTTGCAATACAATACTGAAATTCATAAAGAAAATGAATTAACTGACATCTGACATTGGGTTTTCTACAATATAGGAGATGTTATCTTCATTTTGATTTTAATATAGGTTATCCTCAACTTACAACCACAATTGAATCCAATTGTGTAAGTAAGGCAGTTGTTAAGAGAGTCATACCCCATTTGACCATTTTTGCCATGGTTGTTAAAAATCACTGCAGGTAAGTGAATCATGCAGTCATGATGCAAACCTAGGAAGGTAGCAAATGACAATTCCAGAACCCCAGAATGCTGCATCCATTATAAATACATGCTAGTTGCCAAGCACCCAAAGTCTAATCGAATGACTATGGGGATGCTGTAATGGTTATAAGTGGTTATAAGTCACTTTTTTTCAGTCTGTTGTAACTTTGAATTGTCATTAAGCAAACAGACTACTCATAAAGTGAATTATCTATGAAGTTGCTTACCTTAAATGCACTGCAATTGCCTTCAAGAGTATTCCTTCATTACAAGCACATCTAGGTATGAAATATTGGTTGAACCAAGTGGTCGTTAAGTGAGATGCCACAAACCACCTCAATCAATGACTGCAATCTCAACTCTCCCATTTGCAGTCATTAAGTGGAGCACTGTAGAAGGAGAGTCCTGGCCTTCCAGATGTGATGGGGTGGAGATAATTCCTGGGCCTCCCACTATATCTAGGAGTCCCGAACCCTCTCTTTGCCCCCACCAGGAAAAACAACTGTAAGAATGCTGGCTACTGGAAATCCCTCAGTGAAAGACAGCAAATGCCAGGTAGCACAGAAGAGACGTAATCAGAACGCTCCGCTTTTCCGTCTGCCTGCCAGCTGATCATCAAAAAGGCTGTTCTATCCGCGGGCTTGAGCTAGCAGCTCTTCACGCAGGACAGTTTGGCAATTTATACTTCCATGCTGGCTGCCAGCAGGCTCAAGCCAACAACCCTTCACGCTGAGCAGCCCCTGAAACTTATTCTCAGAATGGAGCTGGCTGCTCACAACCATTACTTTCTGTGGCGCCAGTTGACAGCAGCCTCAAGCCGAAGGCCCTGCACACTGTAAGCCATCAAAAAGGCTGAGATCCGATTGTATTGTCTCTGCAGGAGCGGCTAAGAGACGGCCAGTTGGATCAACTCTCTGACAGTTTGGGATAGAATCCAGGCAAAGAAGAAAAAGACTCTGTCAAGGAATCCCAATTCAAACCACGACTACTTAAGTGTTAGACTGAGTCGAAACTAGGGAATGTTAGCAAGGGGCGTGTCCTCAGTTTTTGAACTCAGTCTAACGAGCAGCGTGACAGGAATCATTCCCATGCCTGGATTTTATCACTACCACAATGGAGAATGCCAGTGTTCTGAGCCTTTCAAAATACTAGCTCAACAGGGGAAAACACTAGGGAACATCAATGCTCTGAACTTTATAGAGATCAATTTGTGAACTTGCATTACTAATTTTAATTGTTTTAACTTTTTGTGTTCAATTTTATAAACAGCTAAGTGTCTTTGTGGAATTGGTGTATTTAAACAATGTAAATAATAAATAAACTTTGTTTATATTAATGGGGAGGCTAACACAAACACTTATAGGTAATTGTCAATGTACAAATGGTCATTCATTGACAATTTGAAGTTATGACAACCTTACAAAAAGTGACTCAGGACTATCCATCAAAATTATAACCCCTGCACCATCCCGTGGTCACATGATTGCAAGCTGAGGGCTTAGCAACTGGGGTATTTTTGACAGCTGCAACATCTTGTGGTCAATGTGACGGCAATTTGCCACATTCCCAGTCATTCTTCCAACAAGCAAAGACAACTGGGGAAGACAGATTCACTTAACAACTGTGAGATTCACCTAGTAGGTACCATGTGATTTGCTGAACAATTTTGGTAAAAACGATTGTAAAATTGGGTCCTTCTTGTGACGACTCATTTAATAACCACATCACATAGTGACCAAAATTCCAGTCCTAATTCTGGTCATAAAGCTGAAAATTCCCTGTTTTTTTTAGAATTAAGCCATAATTAAGCCATTTGCTTAATTTGATTTTGTCTCTAATCAAAAATAAAAATCACCACACAGACCTATGCATGATTCAAACCATACCTACAAATGAAAATTGGAACCACCACATTGTTTTTGTGCAAGTAGCTTATAGAGGCTAAAAATATACTCACCTGATTCAGTTTTTAGAATTTTTTTTAGTTAAGCAAGCTTTTGAAATATGATACATCACAAAAACAAATTCTATAATGATATATAAATGGACTAATTTAACAGTATGGCTCATAAAATGCCCTGATCCTATTCAGATACACATCTGAGAGTTGTTTTTTTTAAATGCTGATATAGCTCACTAAAATTTATCTTTAACTATTGCACTTTATAAAGCATGTGTACATATAGGTGTTAAAATTTCCCATACCTTAGAGGAGATTATTCTGTTTTCTGCAAACTTCTGAGGAACATAATGGCCATGCTGAGGAAAACGATTTGCAATATAAATAGTTCGATTATCACTCTGATGTGGTGGGTCAAAACCCTGAAAAAAAACACCAAGAACATTATATCATTGATAGTTGCATCTCAATATTTATAGTACATTTTAAATCTTGATATTCTCACAATAATTCTGAAAAATTCCTTATTCTTGGTGAAAGAGATGAAAAACAAACAAAATACTTACAAAGAAACAAAAAGTAGTTATTTATTTCTATCCTGACTTTATTCTTTTTAGAAATAACTTAAGGTGATGGTCATATCCAACATACCTTCCTCATCTTATTTTCCCCACTACACCAATCCTGTGAGTTGGGTTGAACTGAGAGAACTCATGGTCTCTTGCTTTCTAGCCTGGTGCTTTAACCACTAAACCAAACAGACTCTACCTACCAACCTATCTATCTATCTACCTACCTGTCTATCAGTATCTAGTCACCCAGCAGGGCCATCCATTGCAGTTGGAAATTATGCCTTCAGTCAAACTGCCTACTAGATTCTCAGGAAAACAAATGCTCCCTCTGAAACCCACAGAAAGCATTAGTCACCTGGGGTAGACTGATCAAATCGGTACTATATCCTTGCAAGGAAAAGCAGAGGCAGCACCACCATAGTGAAAAGCAATCATAAAATGTTCTGACTGGACTGAGGTGAATGTCCTCAACCTCCTATCATGTTGCAAATGCCCTGAGAGAAAAACCAGTGTGTGATAACCTCCTGAGACACCCCAGATTCTATGCCACATGAAGACCAAGTTAAAATCTCCCAGTGCTGCTGTATCTTAAGACACCACTGCAAATGCAGTAACTGAGACAAGCAGCCCCGTTAAGATATCACTGTACAAGCAGGAAAACTGGTATAACAGCTAAAAATATAAACGGTCTCTAGAGCTCAACTTCGCCGTAGATGGTCCAACATCTGCAATGCAGAACCTCAGCCTTACATCTGCCCTAAAACTATGATAATTGGTGACAAACTAAAAACCCAGTAAATATTGTAAACCCCCCCCCCCCCCAAAGTTGGGGTTTTGTAAATGACTACAGACCGGAGCTTGGGTGAAAACTTAACACAGCACTTTATTATATCCTCACACACTCCCCAATGTGAAGTTATTGCCTTGGCTGAGCAGGGTTAACTCTTTCCTCCTGGTCCTTATGACTTGGCTTAGCCAGATAAGCAAGCTTTTGGAAATCAATCCTTACTGTTCTTGAAGTGTCAGATAGTCCTTGTTTCCATCCAAAAATTCTTGCACTCATTGGATATGCTGCCTCAGCGTGGCTACACCTTTTGTAAATACAGTCGCATAGCAAAGTCGCTGCCAAGTTCCTGGCTAGGCTTCAAGCTCTGTTCTAAGAAATGTTGCTGTTGAGCACCCAAGTTGAGCTCCAGGCAGAGAGCAAGCAGGGTTGACTGCTTTCCATTGGTTGTGGTCCTCCTGGCAGTTGGATAGGAGCCCTATTTGTAACCTGTAGCTGTTGCCCAGATGTCACTTCCCATTTCCTCATCTATGTGATGCATCTTCCTCTTCTTTCGCTTGTCATATACTCTCTGGGTAGATTCCCCTTTTCTGAGCTGAGGGCCTGAGTGGAGTAAGGTGGGCTAACCTGGCTACCTATGGATATCAGCATGTCTTTGAAAAAGTCAGTGTCACTCAATTAGCCAGCTGCGGAGGCTGTTGTGCCAAACAGCTTGGTATGGCCAACGGACTAGATGAAATACCATTGTGGGAATCTGTAGGGGAAAATCTCTGCTGCTCAGTCTGCCTCACTAAGCAGGCTGGTGGAGACGGGTGGATTAAGTGCTTCTCCCTCAGGTTTCCTGGTACAGCCTGACCCTCATAACTCTTTTGAAATGGGAAGGAGGGATGAGCTAAATCTAGCCTTGGAATGAGGTGCCTGTTTCTACCAGGGTTACTCCCATCAATATTTTCCAAGGTACAGCTACACTCCCTTTTTTTCTCATAGCATATCTCAGAGATGGGAACACTCATATCTGAGATTATCCAGATCTCAGATGAGGAACCTCTTGGCATTTAATAGCAGGGGATATTTGGTGGAAGAACAAGTATATTGTCATTAGGTGAAATTCGTCCCTGGCAAACAGCTTGTCTTGAAACAAAACTGTTAGTTTCCCCTCAAACCTCGTGAAAGGTAGGAACCATGGGAAATGGTGCAGGTGGTGTGTGATAAAAGGGAAGCTAAATGGAAGAAGGAAAATACGTGTGTAAGATTGAAATTAACAGCTGGAGTGATAGTGATCTAATGCAGAGTACATAAAAGGAACTAAAAAATTTCAGATCTCTTGCTCAAACTTGATGCTTCTGAGAAAATACCACCAAGCTGCTATCACCATAGAACTTTCCGGTCTTGTGTTTTTCAAAACAACTTTTAGTATCTGATAGTATAAGGAAGGCAGTAGGAGAAAACCACCCAAAAAGGTGATCTCTCTTCTTCTTGCTTGCTTTTGTCAATATATTGTACCTAAGTACCAAACTATTCTTCCTCCTTGCAGTGCACAGAAAAGAAGAAACTGTGACCGATTGGTTCGGGGTCTTCTATTGCTAGGACTCTCAAGTATATGGACAGGGTTACTGTGACTGTAAATATCTCCCTTGATGTTTCCCAAGCTCCCTGCCCCATCTGAATCTACAAAAATAAATAAAATGGTGCACTGTCAGACAGTGACAATTTAAAGACCGAAGTGAAGTCCAAGAACGCTTCTTTACATCAAACAGCTTTTATAAACTTTTCTAAAAAATAAAAACAATTGCAGTGATTGTAGGATAAAAAGGAAGGGTGGTGGCTGACTGCAATCCAAGTTCTCCTTTTCCTCAAGTTCTCCAATGGAAGAATTGGATTTGGCAAAGAAACATGCCCCAAATAGCCAAAAAATAAAGAAAGCCATATATTCTTTTCATTATGCTTCAAGATCTCATGATTTCCAACTTTATTATAGCATAGAGCCAAATATCAAAATAACTTCACTCATCTGACCAAGAGTCCATTGCTTGTGCAGCCTTGTACAATATAGCTCATATAAAACTCATACAAAGTTGTGCCCATATTATTTTACAGAACTTTTCCAATTAATAACTCTTGATTGTTTCATCAGCAACATTGTTAGTCCTAAAGAACATCAATGGAGCCTGAAGCACATTTACCCCTCTCGAGCAAATGTACTTGCTTAGCAACAGAATCAGTAGATAATGCCACCAGCCCCCAAAAGTCTGCTTCCCATACATTTTCACAAAGCTATAAGAAATATCTAAGGTAGGGATTTATAGGCAGTAATACTAAGGAATCTGCTTTTTTTTCCAGAGTGAAAGTGGAAAGTAGCAGTAAAAATCTAGATGAAGTGAAAGTTGTAAGAAGTGCCAGAGGAGGATTAAATTTTCCTCTTTTCAAACCCTGCCATATTTTCCCAATGTGATACTTTCTGCAGAATTAAGCATTCACTGTCTTCTGTATAATCTGATCCAATGACATCTAAATTACAATTAGAGTAGACTTCTTCCATAGGGTAAAAGCGAAGAATACACAGACATTGATAAAATCAGAAGTCTGCACTGACACCATTGAGTCCAGCGTTCCCCTAAGAGCTGCAATCCAAATGAATACAATAATTACAAATGAACTTTTAATTCATTTGTAATTAATTGTAATTGTTGCATGGTGAACTGAAACAAGTTAGGAACAGAATATTTAGGATCCAGTGGTGAAAAGCACAGAACTTCTCTAAACTTTCTGTGACTAAGTAATGAATAAATTGAACATATAATGAGGCACAAATGGCTCCTATTATATACTTTAGACACATTATGCAAAAACTCAGCTCTTCGGAAAAGATTCTGATGCTGGGAAAGGCAGACAAAAAAAGAAGACTACAGCCAGGAGCAAGGATTCAATTACAGTGGAATCAGTGCATTATTGGGAGATCTGAAGGGGAAAAAAACAAGTTAGGGATACAGATAGTCCTAAACTTATAACCACAATTAGGAACAAAATTTTGGGGCCAAGCAAGGTGGTCAAGTGAGCCACACTTAATTTTATGACCTTTTGCCACAGTTGTTCAGTAAATCACTGCAATTATTAAACAAATCATGTGATTGTTAAAGGAATCTGGCTTTGTCTTTGCTTGTCAGAAGCTGATTGGGAAGAACACAAATAATGATCAAATGATCACATGACTCCGGGACATGCAACTTGTTGCAAAGTGGCTGAATTTTGATCATGTGAGCATTGGGATGCTACGAATGGTTGTAAGCGTGAGGACAGTTCATAAGTCACTTTCACCTTAACTGAAAGATGTATGCTGTTATTTAATTGCTCTTTTTTAAAATCTTAAATAAGCTAATGATAAGTTTGCCAGGGGTGGGATGCTACCGGTTCGGCCCAGTTCTATAGAACCGGTAGCTCTGAAGAGCACTGAACTGGTTCGGTGCTTGGCCTACCCGCCCACCCAAGCTCTTGGCTGTCCTTTATTTCCTGCTTTTTCAACCACAGCAGCTTTGCGCGGCACAGCTGAGGTTGAAAAAGCAGGAAAGAGGATTTACCAATGCTGCGCACCCTTGCGCAGTGCTTGTCAGCTGTCCGAGCAGCACAGCTGAGGTTTTTATGAAATGGTCTACATGCGCACGCAAAATGCACTCTCACCAGGGGTGGGATTCTACCTGCCAGAGAACCGGCAAATAGTGCCACTGGCTGGCTCCGCCCACTCACTCCTTGGCATGCGCGCTATCAAACTTGCCTGCTAAGTTGTAATTTTTCCTCCCCCCCGACCATCAGCTGTTCTGCTCTGCTGGGAGATTTAGATTAGCTAGAAAGCAGGAAATTGTTGGATTTCTTGCTTTCTAGCTAATCTAAAAGCAAAGCTGAGCCTGAAGCTTCTATTATTCACTGCAGACTCAGAGAGCAGATGGCAAAAACATAGATCTCTAAGTGAATCTATGATTCTGTGAGCAACTCAATCTGCCTGCTCTGCCTGATTTTGGGTAAAAGTTGCTCTTTTTTATAAAAAAAATCAATATTTACATAAATATTTATA